AGAAGAACGATAATGTGACGCTTCATAAAAGCAGCCATCGCTCGACTCGAAATCCAAGCAACTGGGAAGACGAGGAAAAATAAGAAATGAAGAATATGGTTGAGTAATGCTTGCCTGATTATTGAGCCGATAGCGGGCAACATGAACTTCATACGCGCCAATACTGCGTTTATGGCCCGATGCCGCGAGTTATGCAGCCAAAGCGGCGCGCTGCTGATATTGGACGAAGTGATGACGGGTTTTCGCGTGGCTCTAGGTGGCGCGCAGGCCTTGTATGCCCAGCAAATTCCAGGTTTTGCACCGGATTTAACGGTGCTGGGCAAGGTCATAGGCGGTGGCATGCCCCTGGCGGCCTTTGGTGGTAAACGCGCAGTGATGGAGCAATTGGCACCCCTGGGCTCGGTCTACCAAGCGGGGACTTTGTCGGGCAACCCGCTGGCTACAGCGTGCGGATTGGCCACATTGCAGCAAGTAAAGCAAGCAGGGTTTTACGAAGCATTGAGCGCGAGCACACAAAGCCTGGTGCAAGGCTTGCAACAAGCTGCCAGCGCAGCAGGCTTGCCCTTTGCCAGCGACAGCCAAGGCGGCATGTTTGGGTTTTTTCTGTTACCGCAACTGGCGCAAAACTATCAGCAAGTGATGCAAACCAACAGTGCGCAGTTTAACCAGCTTTTTCATGGCTTGCTAGAGCGCGGGGTTTATATTGCGCCAGCTCTGTACGAAGCAGGATTTGTCAGCAGCGCGCATACACCGCAAGACATAGAAGCCAGCGTAGCTGCAGCCGCACAAGTCTTTGCCCAATTGGCCAAAAGCGAACAGAAATAACGCAATCTATATAAGCAAGATGGCAAACACCACCACAAACAGCGCATTGGGCTCAGGTTCTACGCTTACCTATGGCGACCAGGTATTGGCCGACTCCTCTTTGGGCGCGCTGATGGAGGATTTGTCGCCCTCACAGATAGGTCTTTATACTGGCATAGCCCTTTTTTGTTATTGGTGGGCGCGCTACCTTATAAAAAAATGCCACAAGACCTCGCGCAAGGCTTGGGTACGCTTTATAGCACGGCATCCCCGAGTTTTTGGCAGTATTTTCTTCCTGTGCACCACGATAATGGGTGTGCGCGGTGCCATGTGGTTGCTGGAGCGAAATGTTGGCTCCAGAGAAGCGGAAATGGCCCTAAGAGTAGGCACACAAGGTTTTATTTTTCTGGTGGTCATGCTGACCTTTATTTGGCAATTGGCCAGACTCATATCTTGGATGATAGGCAAAGTGCTGCCCCTGTCGCCCAACACCTCTATCCTTAGCACCTGGATAGCCTGGGTGTTTGGCTTGGTGACCAGTTTGGAGTTCACGGGGCTGGCTGCGCCCTTGCATAAACTGCTCGACAGTGTAAGCTTTAAAATTGGTGGCACCCCCACCACGCTGGGGCAAATTTTAGAGAGTGTACTTTGGTTGATGGTGACCATGCTGGTCTCGCTGTGGGTTTCGGGTCTGATAGAGAGCTGGCTTACGAAAAGCCACAGGTTGGATGAAACTGCTCAGCGCCTCTATGGCGGCATGATACGCAGCATCTTATTTGCCGTTGGGTTT